TCAATCCCACTCCCTCTCCTACCTAGTCTCCCATTCCATAAAAAATCATTTCACCTGCCAAACGGGGCCTTAATGGATAATGAGGGAAAATATAGAACAGGGGTGCAATTGCAAATAGCCTGCTCTAAAGGATCAAAATGTAGTGCCAGCGTTCTTTTACAAAAAAATAAAATGACAAGAATTAATCGAAAAACTAACTATGGATATAAAAAACTGTTGATACATATTAACACCTTTGCATATTTTTTGAATATATAGGTACCCACAATTAAAAAACCAAACCAGACCGAATGATTGAACTATCACCCAGTCAAGCTAACAGTTAAGTCAAGCTGAAAAAATCATCTGGGAAGTTAAGCTGGATAGGCTACTTTGAACTGGTTGTCAGATTGAAAATGAGATCCAGTTCTTAAAACTTGAACTGTTTAAAAATACCCTTTTTGTTTTTCTTTTTGTATTTTTTTATCAATTTTTTAAAAAATAATTAATTTTTTAATTATTTAATGTTATGTTATATCATGTGGCTTATTAAATTATGATAAACTTAAAATATTTTGTTTTTTTTAAGTTAAGTAGCAATTTCATATTTATTTTTTATATTTAAATTATTATATACATATATAATTATTTTTTAATTATTATTCTAAAAAGTAATATACACATTGATTTAGGGGAGAATTTTTAATTATTATTCTAAAAAATAATATACACATTAATTTAGGGGAGAATAGCATTTAATGACCTCTTTAAAGAGATTTAATAGCCAAAAGGGAAAAAAATTGATATATCAGTGTATGACTAGAGGGCTAATTCGAAAATAATTTTAAATAAAAAAGAATATGATATCATTGTTTTTTTTAATAAATTATTTAGTCTATGTAATTTTAACTTAATTATAATTCAATCATAAACTTTGACTTGTTATGATTCAATCTTTATAATTTTAAAAATTTAGTCTCTAAATTTTGACTAAATATAACTCAATCTCTCTATTTTAGTAATTAAAAATATCAGTCTCTGTATTTTAGAAAAAATTATAAATATTTAAATTATTTTAAAATTTTAATCTTTAAAGTCTTAATGATTTAAAATATAAGTCATGAATTTTAAAATAATTTTAATCTTTATAATTTTACTTTCTAAAAAACAAGGGCCAATATTTTAAATGTTTAAAATTATATGGATTAAGTTACATCGAGTTAAAGTTTAAAAATTGAGTTACAACAAAGTCAAAACTATAATGATTGAGTTGTAATGAGTCAAAGCTTAAGAAGTGAGTTATAATTGAGTTAAAACAACATAAACTAAATGCTTAATATATTTTTTTAAGAGCTCCTTGCTATCATCAATCATTGGAGCTTCGATGTCAACAATCAATTAAATCTTCTTAATGGCTAAGGGAGGTTTAAATCCAAGACACTTGACAACCAAAAGATTATAAAACTACCAAGCCACCATACCTACTCAATTATATAATGCAAAATTTAACAATTAATATATGTGTTGTTGTAAAATTTTAAGTTTTTAAATCATTTACTTGTTTCAACAAGCAGCCATATCTTAATAAAGTGTCTATGTGCATTTAACAAGCAATTATTAACAAGTTTAAAATTTTGACAATGCTTGCTAGTGAAAAGAGACAATTGTAGAACCTGTTTCAATAAGTAACTATTTATTAATTAATAAACATTCATGTGCATTTAACAAGTCATTATTTGTTAATAAATAAGTATCCACATGCAATTGACAAATAGACTTTTATCTTAAATTTTAAATTTAAATTTAGACATCACCATGCTAATTGGGAAGAGCTTTAACTCCATGAATTGTAGAGTGAGAATAGGCAAGGCTTTAAAGAGGGACCTACAATTTAACCTACTTCAAGCCTAACCTAGTCTACTTATTAAATAAGCTCAGGTGAAGCTTAGGTTTTTAATTAAACTTATTTAGTTAAATAAGCCAGGCCTATTTTTTTAAGGTATAATTTATAAGCCTAACAAGCCGACCTATATATATACATTATATAATATATCACAAACACATTAGCTTCACCATTTAATTTTTAATTAATATATTCTTTTTTAACTTCTAATTATATTTTCAATTATATTAGACTTATATATTAATCTTAATAATGTTATTTTACTATTATATTACATTGTACTTAGTAAGCCCTTTCAATTATTATATATTATAATTAACAAATCAGGTTATACATTGTATATTATAATATTCTTAAAGTAACTTGAGACGTTTCAAACTAAAATGTGAGTTTATTTAAAAAATTTACTCTTAAGTAAGCTTTTAAATAAGCTTTCAGGTTATATTAGGCTTTAGGTAAGTTCAAGCATGAGTGGTGATAAAAGTTTATATAAGCTTCAAGCTAGACTTAGATTTCTGATTTACCTCACAGAATTAAGCCTATTTGATCAAAATTTAACTAGGCCGAATTTATGTTTAACCTTAACGAATTGTAAGCCCATTGGCACATGAGTGATAGATGATAGTAATTTGTTGTTAAACTCTTCGGCAATAGAGACGCACTGAACTAAACGCGATTGAGTTAAATATAAAATCTCCAAATTCAGGGCCAATGAACAAATACTCCAAGTATTAAGCTAGTAACTTTTATCAGTCAAAACATAACCAAATCAAATCTGTATTAAGGCCCATTTGTTTTAACTTATTTCATAAAAAATTACTTATTTTTTGAAAAAAAAAATATATTTTATAAGTTTATATTATATTTGTTTAAACTTTTAAAAATAATTAGAATTAAAAAATATATATTTCTGATTGTTTTTAGAAACTACTTTAAATAACTTTTGAAAATAATTTAATACAATAGATGAGAAAAAGCATTTTAAAAAGGTGAAATATATAAAGATTTTATAAAATTTTAAGATAATATAATAATAAATTATTTTTATGAAACAAAAATCAACGAAAATATTATAAAATTTAAAAATAACTAACTAAAATCACATTTTATTATTGTGACCAAACATAAAATAATATTTTCTTTTTATAAAATTTTTAAAAAATAAATCTCTAAACTATCTAAAAATTACTTATTTTTAAATTTTAAACAAATGAGCCCTCAACCAACAACATTGAATACGGGATTATTTGTTGATTCAATTTACATAAGCGCCCATTCAGCATCCTCTCTCGATGTTGTTGCTCAGTCAGGCATATTTTTTTATTATTTAAAAAAATTTAAAACTATCTTCCATAAATTTTAAAGACATAAAAAATAGTCGACCGTAAGAAGAAATTGCTCCCCCCAAACTATGAGCAATATATATATATATATATATATATATATTTTGGGTGGGGGGTAGGTACTATATGCTTGTAGCTTGCATACAGACACCAGCATTTCACATGGTCCCCTTTGCAACTTCCTATAATGCCATTAAACTCAACATATTCCACCGACCACTCCTCCCTTCGATCAAATTCAAAATTTAAACTTCAATATCACTACTCACATGCCACCACAATGTAAATAATCAAAAAGCATCACCTATCTGCCTTTACCATTAGTTTAAACTAATGCACGAAAATCAGGGTCATTGAATGGTACTGTGGCGGTCGAACCATGTCATGCTTATTATAAATAAAATATTTTATTAAATCAGTCAAAATATTGATTAAATGGTTTACTGATTCAATCGGTTAGATTAACTTAATTTTTAACATTATGGTTTAAACGAATGAAATTCACCTTAATCCCCAAGTCTTCATTCAGATCGGCCCAAAGCTAAACTTGACTGGTCTCGAGGCTTTTGAACGCACGCAAAATTTTGAAGATATGTATTGGGATTTGAGAGCTGGGGCACATATCAATGCACAGTACCTATAGACATGTTTTCTATTTTAATATTATTACTCTAATTCATCCCTCTTACTATCTTTGTTTTTTTATTTGCCTTCTTTCCTTTCTGCAATCTCAAGATGGCTCCAGAAAATCACTTGCGTTTAGCTCTCAACATGGATTATGCTTCTTGGTGATAAAACAAGATCCGTCTCGTTCTTGGACTAACCACTTTCGTACACTAATAATCCATCATCATTACGGTTGACAAATATCAAACCTGGGTGCTAAATTTCAACATGGACACATGGGAGGTGTTAAGAATTGACCCCACCTCATTAGTACCGGAGCCTAATTTTTGAATCCAAACTCATCTCACAAGATAAATAGGTAAGTTCTGTCACTCCTCAACTTTCATGGATCCCACCATTACTGCCCAATTGTCCACCATAGGACTGCACAAAAGACAGGATGATACTGGACTTCACCTAACCCGAAATTCGGTCTCTTTTATGAAAAAGACTGTGTTAGGCAATCCATAGTCCAGTCTTGTCCAGTGATAACCCAAAAATTAACAGAACCGGACTTGGTACATAGGACTGGGAGACTGATCCTGTCAGTCCAGTACTCACTTAGCTTTTTTTCCCTCTTTTTATTCCATGAGAGGCAATAATCCATTCCAACATAATAAACTCAATTAAGATAGTAAAAACACTTATAATAATAATAAATCCATAATAATTTCTAACAATAAGAAAAAAAATATTTTTGTTATAGTCTAAATTATTTAAATTTATAAACTTTAATAAAAACAGTACTCAACAAAATTCAACAACACTATATTATAATAATAATTTAAAAACAAACTTAATAAATCTTTATGCAATCATTTCCTTAGCATCAATTACACTTTAAACATTTGTCAAAAATAAATTAATTATAATTATAATAAAAAAATTAATAGGACTGGATTGGACCAAGTGATCCGGATGCCTGGTCTCTTGTCCAGTCCAACCCGAAAAAATAGTCTGGTCTTTTTAATCCTTTTGGTCCTGAAGGACCAGTGACTATACAGACCGAACAAGACTGAGACCATCTCGGGTTGGACTGGATCAGACAGGACTGAAAGACTTTTGCACAGCCCTAGTCCACCCCTTCAAGATCAACGGATTCACTATGCTTAAAAAAAAGTTGCGTTCACATTCTCCCAAAAGAGGCTTAAACAAAGCAAAAGCATTCAAAGAAACCGAGCACCTCAAAAGCCAACAAATTAAAGCAAACGCGCTTGCCTCCCGCCATAAGCCATGGAGAACAAGATATCCTCGAGATCCGCAGAATCACAACGCTTGCTTTGAAATTTAATCAACTATCGTAAACCTGCCTGTTGTAATTATTTGATGAGTAACAGCATCGGACTAATTAAGGTGATCTAGAAGAGGAAGAAGAAGAAGCTCAGAGAATGCATGCTCTGGGACTGGAAAGACACGTCTTTTCTTTTCCACACCAGTGTTTGTTGTTTGCAGCAACAAAGGCAACCAACAAGATCAGACTTACATTTGCTATTACATATCAAACTCTACTATCTTCTCCGGGAAGATCTGTTTGGAGCAAGAAGTGTTGTCATGATTATATCTCAATTCAAAACCAAAACACATTCACAACATACTACAATCAATCATCATGAATTCAAAATTACAATCCCAAAAGGACAGACTTTGACAAGCGGATTAAGAGGGTTAAACGTGATAGGGGAAAAAAAATCACCGGGATGGTTACCTTTCATGTCCCTTCTGTATTCCTCATCCATGGCAGGTCTGCATTAAGAGAAGATGGCATGCCCACTTGATCTTCTTCGGATGAAGAAGAGAACCTGCTCTTCTTGGACCACTGCCAGACCTTGGAAACAGAATAGCTCTCACCTTTGCTCACACTTCTAATCTTCTTTGCCTCCTCCATGGAAAGCTTCTCAGATTGTTCTGGTCCTTTTGTGAGCCTTGCCTCGCGGCCTTGTCGCTCCTCGTTTAAGGCAATTCGGAGGTCCGAATTGCCAAGAACATACTGGTAAGATCCCATTGAGTAGCATCTTCTTGCATCTAAATTACTGCTACTCGTCTCTCCTCCTCCAGTCTCCCCTGCCTCCTGCATATTCAGCCTTCTGAATTTACCAAGTTTTACTGGGAACACCCCTTTCTCTACAGTTTCTTCAATTTCAACAGTCTTCTGTCTAAACGTTGTGAACCCATTTTCCCCGTTACATCCATCCTGTTCCCTTAAATCATCAAAATCATATATTGGGTTTTCAATTGAAAAACCAGGAGTTAAAAGTGTTCCTCTACAAAGTGGACATGTGGAATTGGACAGAAGCCATGTGTCTATACAATTGATATGAAAGGCATGGCTGCACATGGGAAGCAATCTGAGCTTGTCCTTCTCAGAAAACTCACACAGGCACACGGCACAGTCAAATGGTTCTTTCAGACCAACTATCTCTTTATACTGGAAAACAGGAAGTGCGTCAATGAATGCTTGATCCAGACCAGAGTCATGAAGATTGAAGAGCTGTTGGAGTTGTCTTTGAAGAGCATCGGAGGTTGAGATTTCTTGGTGTCTACTAGATTCAGATGCTGAGGAAGATGGGTGCTTTACGAGAAATCTAACGAGCAGGTGTAGAAGACCAGAAATGAAAAAGAGCACGGCTAGAATCACTATAATGAAAAGAACAGCAGGACTAATTCTAGTACCAGACGAGGAAGAAGATCCTGTTTCTTTGTGGAAAGCACCGGGATATGGGGGCGAAGATGAAGGCAAAACAGGAGCTGGGTAGCTCGAGTAACCATCTTTTTGCAGGATTCGTTTATGAATCCAAGAAATCTTCAAATGGTTATGGTTAAAAAACCACTTATGATAAATGCTCTCCGACATCCCACAGATCATAAAGGGAGGAGACCCATTAAACATGCTCTTCATAGAACACAATCATAGCAACACTCACACAGGAGACAGCAAAATCCTTCGATTTCTCAGCTTTTACTCTTACATCCAGAGAAAATAATTGTCTTACGACTTTGAGTGCCTTTCTGTTTTTGAATACTGAGCAAAAAGTTTTGAGGGGCAGGATCAGTGATGAAGCAATAATATTAATAAGAGATGAGCTGAAGTTTTGCGTTCTTCAGTTGCATCTGGGAAATCAACTCACCTATGTTTCTGCCTTGAAACTCTTGGAACAAGAAATTGATGGATGAAAGTGCAACTTCCTAGAGGTCCCAGGTTCCAGAATAAGAGGCTTAGGGGCGCAGGCTTTTTGAGTTTTATTAAATAGGCGAGGTCTCTCAGAGGTGACGGGGAAAGTGAAAGGTCATGAGCTCTCGCTTGACTCTGTCGCTGGCCAGGAAGGAATTTTCTCTCTCCAGTCTCTATCGGTGGTACAGCCAATCCATCAAAGAGCTGAGAATCTGGCACCAGTCTCCGAAGTGGGAGGGAAAGGATGACAAAAAGAAACACTGGCAGATTTAGTCCCACCCGCCAAAGTGGAGCGTGCAAGTCAATTTCGTCGGTTCTCATCGGCTAAGATTTTTGTTCTTTCTTATGGCGTCTCGCGCCACTGCATTTATTTATTTATTTGAATAATACTGAAAATATACATTAAAAATCAAAGAGCATCCAGTTCGTCGAGTTCAACAGAGGAGGAGGATCTCTTAACATTTTCCAACCTTTGTAAAAGCGTTGGTGGATAATTAAAAATACAAAAATTCTCATAAAACATGTAAGAAAACTTGGCTAGCCTATCTAAAGCATTCTCTTCCCTGACAACACGTGAGAGCTTCAACTTCCAATCTTTTGAGGCCTCATATTCGATGTAGTCTTTTAAAATTAATTTTTATTAACTTATTTTTTTAAATAATTATATCAGTTTTTTAAATTTTAAAATATAAATTAATTTTTAAAATAATTTAATGTGTAAAGTACTCCTTCCAATTCAACATATAAGCATTTTTCTTTTATTAATATTAATTCAAAATATAAGTAACTTAATATATATACATAATATTTTTTGATTTCACCCTTTGTATTTATTAACTTATATATTTGTGTGAATCTCACTTATCATAAGGTACATTGATAATTGAAACTAAAGGTAAGATAGAAAAATAATACACTCCTTCCGTTTAAAAATATAAAGCATTTTTTAAAGAGTTACATGTTTAAAAATATAATATATTTTTAGTCTTTCGAAGTATAGTCATTGTCTTTTTTTTTTTTAAATACCCCTATTGATAATGACTTTATGTTTATTGTAGGGTATTTAATAGAAGTAAATATAACAAAATATGGTTAGTTAAAAAATAGGTAACTACTTTATTGAGAGGTGAGATACGATTAAAAATACCTTACGTTTTTTTAACGGAGGAAGTATATTTTTATGGCAATGGGTACTTAATTGATATACAATTTTTTTTTTCAAAAACTACTTGTATTTTGAAGTGGAGGGAGTATATTGATAATTTGTCATGCACATGTAGTTGAAAATAAAGTAACTCTCAAATTAGTTTAATTTTTATCAATATAACCTTTTATGATATGTTTTGTTCTCCTATTTTTTAAACAATTTTAGAGTTTTTTTTATGTTTAAATCAAGCTCCATGTTTTCTTTTTTTTTTGTGCCAAAAATAGGGTTAATAAGTATTATGAACTTTAAATTATTACTTAAATATCATCATGAATTTTAAACACTTAAAATGATCAAAAGCTCCCATCAACTTGTAAACTTCAAATAAATTATTCTCATTGTTAATTTACATTATGGTTAACATTACATGAATAAACAGTGGGGTAATTTGCTCAGAATTTATAAATTAAGAAGATTTTAAGAGTTCAAAATTACAATATAAAAAAAGAGTTTAAGATTCATAATATTGTCCAAGTAATAATTTAGGATTTATGATGTTTATTAACCTGTCAAAAATTTCCATGTAATCCAAAATCCTACATTTCACATTTGTCATAAAATGTCAAATAAGGTTAGTAAGGATAGGTGTAGATATATATATTTTCCCTTACAAGTGGAGTAGAGATTAAATCTTGATGATGTATAAAATAAATTTGTTGTAAATATAAATGCCAAAACTATGTATTAATTTTTTTATAGAATCAATATTTTTATCCATTTTATTCTGAAATGATTTACTATGTAGTATAATTTGAACAAATTACTCCAAGTTTTTAAGCTTGGCTATATATATGTACATAGACTCTTGTTATTGTTTGCAAAAGTTATTTGAAATATATTATTTTGGTAAGTTATAAATATCTTTTCTTTAGTTGATTTAGAAAATTAACCTTTTTATATAATAAAAATAGTAAAATCTAATACATCTACCAAGAACTAATACAGCAAAATCAAATCAATATTAATGAAGACTCGACATAAACTCTGCACTCACTGCATTTATATGGCGATTTAGTACTAAGCATAAGGAACAACAAAACCATAATTCATAAATACTCCTTCTAGTTTTATTTACAAATTATTTCTAATATATTTCAGTGAAATTAGAGAAAACCATAAATTTTATTAATTTTTTCTTAGAATTTAATAAATTTCCACCACTATCCTCAATAAAGGCAAAAATAATTATTTTTATTAATTTATTTAACTTTTTATAAGATTAGAAAAGTAAAGATAAAGATAAAAAATAACAAAATATCATATAAATAAGATTAAAAATACTCTTACCTCTCTATTATGTAAATAGGACAAGAGGAGTGGGTGAATGTTTAATTCTTCTTCCGGACCTCCTGTCTTGGTGCATGCTAGATAATTCGTCTATGCATCCCTGTCGGCCCAAGTAAATCCTTCTTAACTTCCCCAACGACTTCTTTATGGCGAGTTAAAGCCACATTACAACTATCTTATCAATAAGGGAAAATCACAAGCACTTACCACACAATAATATTTATTACTTTGCAGAATCGCATAATTCTTATATTGCCTTGTAGGACAAGGGATCTAAATATAATTGAAATTTGTTTTAAAAATACAAATTAACCCCTTGTGTTTGGATGTATTAGTTGTAATGAGAGAATTGATTGTTGCTAAAATAAACATAAAATTTATTTATTTTTTTTGAATGGGAGCTTGTTCACCATATCTTAACACTCCCTTTATCACCAAGTTAATATTTTAGAATTGTTAATAAACAAATTGATTATTATTAAAATGAAAATGGGACTTGCTTTTCCTTAAATAAGGACTTGTTCATTAGATTACAATATTTATTCCTTTCCATCACCAAATTAATTTTTTGAAATTGTTAATAAAAGAATTGGTTATTATTAAATGAAAAGACAACTCTCTCTTTTTTTCCTACAGGAGTCTTATTTATCAAATCACAATAATTGTTCATTTCCACTGCCAAGTTATATAATTTACTTGTGTTGTTAATGAGGAAACTAATTTTTTTTAATGAGGACTTGTTATTAAAAAAGTGTATATACATATGAGGGTAATTTTACCTTTTCACAATAAATTTTAATTACATTTAGATCCCCTTGTTCTATAGAGTAATTTAAGAATTGTTTAGTCCTTGCTTGCAATAAATATTCTTCTCAAGTCCTCTACTGTAATTTTCCCTATCAATAATTAATAACTAATATCTTTAGCATGCAAATTAGTAATATTTGAGGCCTCTTTTGATGAAAAAAAAATTATGGTTGAGGGAATTATAAGGTTTCAATAAAAATAAAAAATTATAAAAAATTGATTAAAAATTATGTGAAATCATTGGAATCTTTCCCCTAATTTTTAAGATAAATCCATGTAATTAAATTTCCTATGATTACATGATTCAAGTTAAAAATGAGTCATATCATTTATGAGCGGAAAAATGTGATGATTAGGATTATAAATTTTATATGGAACAAATCAAGCTATGAAAATGGCTGAAGCTATAATTTATGAAAAATATTTTGAGATTTTATATTACACTATATTGAATTGATATGCATATTAATAATATTATGATTTATAGTTATGATGAACAACGTGGATAATAATGTTTATTGATACTATTCCTCTGTCCTAATTTGTGAAATAATATTAAAAAAATATAATAAAAATGACAATATTAAAAAACATTATTAATAAAATTTTATTTTTATAAAAGTATCTTTTATTTTAGAATATTAATTTTTTTTAAAAAAATTTCTTATAAATTAGACACAGGGAGTTTATTGAATTGATATGCATATTAATAATATTATGAAGGTTCGAATTCCCGCTGAGAGAGGTGCTACATGTAGTCCCCGATTGTATTTCAAATAGAATTGCCTCTAATAAAAATATACTTATGAGCAATAAAAAATAACATCACGATATAATTATTTTTTATTTAAAAATAATAAATTTGATTGACTGCATGTTAATCCTCATCTTTTCAATCAAGAAACTGAATTTTCCCAAGAAAATCATATTAATTATATTTATGATTACTATTGATATTAACATGGGTATTAATATTGTTTTATAGTCATGTGTTATTTTATTAAGAGTTAATGTATAATATAAATCGTGAACTATAAGTTCAAAAGTAATTTAAATCCTAAAACTCATAATTGATATATTTCAAATCCTAAATGATTAAACTTGCGGTATCTTCACATTATCATTAAATTAATACAAACATCTGTGAAGCATTAATAGGTGGCAATTTTTTTTTTTGTTTTTGAACATTGGTTGATTTGGATGGCATTATAATTTTGACTCAACATAGTGCATCCCCACCCACTCCATTTAGTCATCCTCACCTACCTCCCTTACTCTGTCATTTCCTCACTTAGATTCGATGAACAAGGTGTAGAGACCCATAGCATAGCAAAGTGTAGAGACCAACTTAATGAGGTTGAACCATGGCTAATTCCTCATTGTGGTTGTCCACAAGCAAGAGGAGGAAGGTTTTGTCATCAATGGCAAGATAAGGCAGACGACTCAGATCATAGCTCCCAAAGCCCACGTGGCTTCTTCTCAAAGCCACACCTTCACGTTGATGATTACAAGAACCTCGCTCGTTGAGTTGTTTTCATCCTCGTAGAAGTGCCCATACAGCATGTAGCCTAAAGCCATAACCTCCGCCTTCTAATCTCCTTCCTTCTCGCATTTGGTAATGGTCGATCAACCTTGAACTCCCTTCATCTCTTGCAGACACTGACTGGAATATTTTTCTAGCTGAGCAAATGGAGACCCTTTACAGATTTTGATTTTAGGTTCTGATCGTTTCGGCTTGTTTCAGATTGTTAGGCATTGGCCTTACCTTTGCTAACACTTGGGCCTCGTTTGGTATGATGGAAGAGTTTTTGATGGAATTGAAATCGGAATCAGAATTGGAATTGAAATTAGAATTGGAATAGAATTGGATTACACATGTGTGTTTGGTATGTACATGGAATCCTTATATTATTTAATATTTAATTTGCATATCTACATATTAAAAGATTAGAATATCCCTGAATAAAAAAAAAACTCCCTCTGCATCGCTTTTTTTGCCAGATCAGACCCCACCTTGTCTTCCTCGTCCACCTTATACACTGCCAGATTCACACCTAGACGAAGAGGCGGTGCTCGACGACATAGCTCGTACAACATCCATTGCTAAATATTCATGCCCAGACCAGGAACACCTACACACACACACACGCACACGCACACACACACAGAGAGAGAGAGAGAGAGAGAGGTCGTGGGAGGTGGGTCGTCGACCTGTGATAGTGGTGTGAGTCTCCTTAAGTTGACGGAGATCTAGAACGAGGGTCATCGCCAGTTATGGAGTCATTGACTTGTGTGCAATAGAGAGAGAGAGAGAGAGAGAGGTCGTCAGAGGCAGGTTGTCCATGGATGATGGAGTCGTCGACGTGTGATGGTGGTGTGAAGCTCCTTGAGTCGATGGAGAGCAAAGGTGGCTCATCGCCGGTGATGGAGCTATCAACCTGTGTGCAGTAGAGAAAGAAAGAAAAGGAGCATCACAACGAACCTATTGCGATTTATGCTGAGCCTGTTGTAGAGAAGGACGTTGTCGTTTGATGCCGGTGAAAGGTAGTCATCACTGGTGGTCGCCTTGTCGTCGCCATTGCTGGAAGTGTCATCCTTTTCCTACTTATTGATTCTGGTAACCCATGATAGAAAAAATAGAAGGGGAAGAAGACAGTGGAGAGGGAGCTGCAGATCAAGAAAACAAACCTCTTACACTTATAAAATGGCATGTCGATGGCACAAAAAAGTTGGAAGCGATGGTGATGGCGAGCAGCAAAGGCAGAGGCGATGGTCGCGAGTCACAATGGTGCTTCCATCATTTACCATTGCCAACAACAAAGAGATGATGTTCAAGCAGATTCGACGGGATGAGTTGAAGGGTAGAAGAGAGAAAAGATTGAATTCCAGGGAGTTTGCTCAATTCCATAAATAGAATGATGGAATCTGATTTTGCCTTTTTTCATTGAATCAAGATTCCCACGAATCCTGATTCATGTATACCAAACGCTACTCTGTCCGGATTCTTGCCCAAATTCCATTTCTATGTTAAGGATTTTGTACTACCTTACCTTTGCTAACACTTGAAGTTTGTAAAACATGCAAGTTGCTCTTCGAATTAAGTGGTCCGAAACCCCATTGCTTTTAGAAGCAGGCTACGTTGCCATTGCAATTTCCTAATTCTTCACTTAATGCGAGAGCCATTTTGATGAATTTGTTGATTTGCCTGCATTTGTTAAAATTATTGCTTCATGCGGGCTTGTTTGAGTTATCAGAGATAGAGGAAGAGGGAGAAAAAGGCAAGGAGTGAGACAAACATAGAGAGCTCGACTTAGGTTGTTTTATTTTTTCAGATTCAAAAAGAGGGAAAGTTATCAAGTATATTTGTAATTATCAATATACACGTTTGAAAATATTCACCTACACACATGAGAAGCCACTTAAGCAAAATCTGGTTAAAAAAAAAATCTCTATCCCTTTTTTTGATAGTCAATGTTGCACCAATTTAATGATGAAGGTGAAATTATCCCAATTTTAATTATTTAAAATTCAAAATGTGTCAATTATAAGTCTAGAATTTAAATTGTCCTTAAACTTATAATTTAAAGTTCAAATTATTATTTAATCCTTTTACTAACAAGATATACTATGAACATGAATTTATTTCTCATATAAATTTTACATATATATTTAATATTATTTTTTATTTAACTATTATATCATCAGTTTGACCTTTTGTCCTTTTTCAGTTTAATGTTCAATGTTCGGTCCAACTATAGAAAGATTGCCTATGAGAGTGACTTCGCAGTTATATATGATCGTGAGAGACGGAGGTGAGAGGGCAGAGAAGCAACGGCAAGAGTTGTGTGAGCGTTTGACTCAGTAACACCAATTAGGGTTCTTGCGATAAGGTATTTTTTCCCCTTCTTTTTTTGGGTTCTTTTTTTTTTTTTTTTTGCCCCCCGGGGGGGGTGGTTAGACTTAAACGAGTTGTCCTCTATCAGGTCCAAAAACATACACACACCTTTCAACTAAGTTTGTTCTATACATAGAAAGTAACTATCAAGAATCAACAGATCCCTAGAAAAGAGGATTTTTGTTCATACATACTATACCCAAAACAACAAAATGATCAGTGAGGAGAATAATTCATATAAAGTATTTCTCATGTTCCCCGTAAGAATTCTCGCTAAAAACCATCCCGTGTTTCTTGTACAAAAATAGATTTCCCCCCAGTGTGAGGTAAAAAATGAGAGATATTGGGAGCATAAAGACATAATCAAAACCTCAACGGAACAACCCCTAAATCCAATTCATTGGTTCTTCCAAAAGCCTAGCTGATGCTTTGGTTATTCAAAGCCTGCCCCTCACTCACAAAGGGGGCAAAAAAAAAAAAGAAGGAAGAGCCGGCCTCTCAACCGCTATATGTATATATGGGGATATTCACTTCTCCTCCTATCTCTTGCTCTCGGTTTATCTATCTACCTCTCAATCTCCCTACTAATTTTCTGCGGCCTAATGTATATATCCCCATGGTAGTGGTTTAATTTGATAGTGAACATGGGGTATCACGTGAAAGATGCTAGTAGGACGAGTAATTTAAATACCTTCACCCAAACTTTTCAAGCTTTCAGGTCATCAGACATTGCAGACGGTATGCCGTGTGTTGTGAGAATATCTGAACTCGCTGCCTTGGCGGTGCTGGTCTTCAACACTACTATCTGTGGAAAAGGGTTTTAGAATCCTTAAATTACAAGTCATCTAAAAAATTTCAGGAAAGAACTACTGAACAAAACAACAATTAAGGCTCGTGGCTCATTCATTTATTTTTTTAATTTTCCTAATTTCTGCTGAGCTTCATAAAGTTTCAGAAGACTCCTTTAGATATTTGATCAGAGAATATAAAAAAGTAGACACAAGTATAGTTTGACTTCGATAATGAATTTCACCTTCATACAATTTAAAATAAATGACTCATTCTATTTATGATTAGAACAACAACTGCATCATTTTTTTTTTTTTGGGAAAAGAACAACAACTGCATCATTATCTCTGGGTGAGGAGATATCATAATTTATTTTCAACCTCTCTTGTATATAGTCTTCAAAGATTTTTATATATTCTGTGAGAGAAACCATTTTGGTTATATAAAGACTCAGTATTGATTAAAAAAAAAAAATAGTAGTGCATTGCTAACAGAAACCAATTTTTCTGGATTAACATTAACAGGATATTTATTCAATAACCATATCAACTTGAGGAATTTTGTTCAAACAAGGATTTAGGGATTTCAATTTTTTTTTTTTTCAAAGGAGAAACAGAATATGCAATTATGTATGCTCGTGAAGAGGAAACCTGTTGATATTCCAGATCGAACTTCATATAATCATCATCACAACTCTCGACCATGAAGACCAAGCTCTTCAGATTCTTCACAGACTTACCATTGAAAGCGAGAACCTAAACACCATGCACAGATCAAATTTGGTATATACTCAACTTATACCAGATTGAATAATATCCATAAAATGTTTTCTTACCTGAGTGTTAACGATGTCCTCATATCCAATGTTAATGTCAGCCACTAGAACCTAACATAGATAATTTCAAGTATGAGCCCTTGTAATAAAACGGACAGTCATCTACTGGACTAATGGGGAAATGGATGAAAAACCTGAGAAACAACAACAAGCTGTTCATCAACAGACTGTGCCATCGCATGTAAATGCTTGTCCAGAAGCTTGATGGGGGCATCAAATTCATATTCCTTTCCATACTGGAAAGAGAGAAACTAAATAGTAACAGTAGTAACAAGTATCAAGTATAACATATGGTTTATTTCCAAACACATACAACTTGCAATGATAAACCACAATATCTTAGGTTTCAAATCCTTACTAGACAAAATTTAAAGCATATATACTTCAAGTTAAATGACTTAACAGTTAAAGTTCAGTATTTCCAAAACCCTATGTGCGTGCACGCACATGATCATTGAATACAAGCCAGTTCGGCCATAACTTAAACCAAAGTACCAAACGAAATGAAAATGCTTTGTCAACCATCCATTCCCTTCCCTTTCGATTCTCCCTTAACCCAAGTACACTCTCGAGAATGAAAATTTAGATCTAAACTAGTTCCCCAAGAATTTAATTCACAAAAAATGCCAAAAACAAATGAACGAATGGATCATGCCATCTCTTTATATTAAGCAAAATGAACTCTTCAATACAGCATATGAACAGGTTGGATGAAACAAGAAAGTTATAGCTGTACGTCGTAAAACAACTAACATGTTCCTAGGCCCTTTCACAGTTCAATCTTAAGGTTATTTAAAAAAAAAAAAAAAAGCTCCTCACGGAACTTTTACAACTTGCAAAATAAATATATGCACATGTAGCGGGTTAATTATCAACTGACAATATTGTCAGTTAATCTGAAAAAGACCATCGATATCCAGAACCATGTAAGGAAACAATCATGGAAGAAACTTAAAAAAAGCCCCATTGAGACAGCCTACAACAGCAGGAGAAGAATGATTTAATTTTTATTGCCATATCGAGTTTCCATAAAGAGTGCTTCAAATCTAAAAGTACTTATAAGTCCATCACTGAATATTGCTTTATCAAGCATGAGATTAACAGACACACAGACCGCAAACAGTTGTTTTACTAAAATGAAGCTGTTAAGAGGCAACTAAATCATGTGAAAACCATCGAATAAAAGCAATCATGAAATCGTAATGATAAAACCTACCTCAGAACGAAGATAGGGGACAGAAACTGCAGCAAAAACAAATCCTGCGACAATGTAATAAGAAGGAGGTCTGCCTTTGATGTGGGCTGGGATAAGCCGCTTATGAGTTGCAAGGTTTATGTTAAATTCAAGTATCTTTGAATTACGGAGAACCTTGACGGCAGCTGTATCCCCAGTGTATTTTTGAGAGACAAGGTAACTGAAACCAATGCGCTCCCCATGCCTGAATGGAACTACAAAAATATCCCAAACTGGAAATCAGTTCGAAAATTGAAACAACATAAACAACAGAATTTCCCAAAGGTGCAAGAGTTTACGCCTATGTGCATTCTAGATTGTCAAGATAGACTCATAATTTCATAGTAAAAAGTAAATTGCTACGTCATAAGTGAAACATATGTCTCGAAGAGCATCTCACTAACAAGCTAGCTGGTTACCAATTGTTATATATGATAAATCTATGTTTATTCATTTGCCCGAGCTATAAAATTTATCATTTAAATACAAAACAAAGTACAACCTCAGATATACGTCAGAAAAATAATGAAAAAGCACAAGATAATAGTATAATTCATCGTGATGGGATAGCTAATCAATTTAAAACATGGAAGTGCAGCTACCTGTTCCATCATTGGCAATATTAACCCCATCAAAGCTAAGAATGACATCAGATGGTTTTAGAACATGGGATTCAGGAGCTGTGGGTTCAATTCTTCTGATACGCACACCTTTCTGTTCCTGTCCCATTCCCATTGACTTTCGCAAATCAGGATTTTCCATCTTCTGCCACTCAACTCCAAGAATTGGAAATCCTGTGAAGGATGACACCAAAACTGATTTATTTAAGATAAAACTGGAATCATCTCATCAACCTTACAATGGCCACTTGGACAGTAACAGTAAATCATAAACAAGATAAAAAAAGTTGAGAGAGAGAGAGAGAGAGAGATGCCGATTTTCAGTTGACTTCTACATTCAATCCCTTTCAGTTTAAAATCTATATCTCTTTCTATATGGATACCTTCCTCTCCCAACATGAAAAGGCACCCACACCCCTTCTGTCTAATAAGAGAGACAAGATTATGTCTTCTGAAAATGTAACACTCCCTTAACTACCTGTATATTCCCCATTCTTTTCATAGTCCCGGATGAAATGTAAGATAACTGGAGTGGGTATCACATATCCTATATTCTCCACATCTTCATGCTTAAGAGATTGAAATGCAATCCCCACACATTTACCCTTATCACCGAAAGCCGGTCCCCCAGAATTTCCTGAATTTATTGCAGCATCTATCTGCAGAAGGATTTGAACAGACCAGCAAATCTATCACAATATATCAATGGATAACTTGGAGATCAGACGTCACATAATTTCAGACTCTAACCTGCACTCCCAGAAGTTCAGTTGAACCATGAACATAAGAGAGTATCTCAATGCGTGAGACAACGCCGCTAGTTACAGAGATAGTGTCACCTCCAATTGGATAGCCCACAACAGTAACAGCATCTTGTAGTGCAGGCAAATCCCCAAACTCCACAGGGGAAACTCCATCCCAGAACTCATCATCATTCACCGTCAACAATGCTGAAGCATAAAATTAATATCTGAACTCCATTGGTCACAAAATCATATACAGGAAGAGTACCATCTAATATACTCATTAATAGACAACAAAAAAAAAATATTTTTCTGATAATACTATCTGCTCACTCACAAAAAATGGAATGGTCTACATTAGAGAACAAATAAAATATTATTAAATCTTGTCCTAACAAATAAAAAAAAAAATACTCTGAACTAGTAACGCACATTACACAAACATCAGGTGATGATGCCTTATAGTGTCTTTAAGTCTAAAACTTCAACTTTTTAGTGTTTATAGAAATATAGCTAAAACAATGGTAAGTTTCTATGGCCGTGCCTGGATTTCAATTGGCAAAAATTGATTAACAAACCGTGATGATGTTTAAATAATATTTTCTGAAATTGATTTTGATAATTCAAGATGTTTGGATAATTTTTCAGAATCAATTATAAAGATGGGGGAAATGGAAAATGCTAAGAATTGATTCTCAAATGGAGGGAAAAAAATAGCTGATGCCAAATGAAGTTTGGGAAAATTGGAGATGTTTAGGTAAGATTTTCCAAAACCATAGTTTTAGACCCATAATCGATTCTGGATGCATATCCAAACAGGCCCTATATAAGCTTTCTTTCCAATTCCATGTTATTCCATATACTTTCTTGAGTCTTGATGATTGTTGTTTTTCACTTCTGTGGTGTGTCATTTACCAAAAGGAACCTAACATCCAGCAGACACCAGAGGTATGATCTTGAGAATAAAGGTAAACAAGCTAAAACCTGAGAACTTCAACATCATGACCTGATGCACATTTATCAAAACTATAGGGCTTGATTGGGACTTTCAAAGAGAATGTAGAGGAGTGGAAAAAGTGAAATGAGAAGAGAAATAGCCCCCATGCCTCATGCCATGTTTAAAATTTTAATGCAAAAAAATAAATGTGATTTTTTCCCCGTTCTAGTATTGGCTTTGTAAAAGGAAGGAAAATACAGCCAAAGCAAGCAAACCATAAGCAAACCATCCCATAACCCCCCTCCTTTTCTCAGGGCATAAAACAAAAAACACCACCTGAAAAACGACTGGGTGGGCTGGGAAATTACAGTGTGGGGAGTAGAAGAGGATTAAGGATCCGATCCTAGCCCACCCCTACCCCATTACATTCTCAACCATAGAAATAATGGTTTCGGTTTTCCCCACTCCCCTCGTCCAACCAAAGAAGCACTCAGGGGTGGAATCCACAGCTAACTAATTCGCCAAAATCGAGGTCAAAATATTAACTAACGTAGATCATATGATATTTAGAGCATTAGTTCCTAAAAAAGTAAAGTAACGGCAATCATGTTTCTCCGGATGTAATTTTCAGTATCAAAGAGAAAAATCCTTGCCTATTATGAAAAGTTCCACTACATTAACTCGGTATGTCAAATTATTAACTAAGACCAAGATTCAAATACCAATGTCGCATCGGTTCCAATGGTTAGCACTGTTGCTAAGTATTTCGTATCAGACCCACGTTTCTTGAGCTTGACCTGAGTATGATGCTCCACCGAATGCGCATTTGTCAACACCCTCCTCCCCGCAATAATAAACCCGCTGCTACTAGAGCTATACTGCCTTTTTCTCTGCCACGGTAGAGAGAAATTCGGTTCCGTATGCACACAAAAAACCTTCACCACGGCATCCATGGAGGGCACGGCCTTCACCACGCTGTCCCACTTAGGCATCAATGGGGGTTCAGCAACCAAATCCGTAAGGGCACAATCCCCATTCTGCTCAGCGAGTCTCGAACTTCTCCGCTCTGGCGAGCCTGTTACAAGGGGTTGCGACTTCCCCTTGGGCTTGAACTTGTTGCGCCCAGGACGATGGCGTGATGAATCCGGAATGGTGGCATCGGTGGCTTCCGCAGCAGAGGGAACTGAAACAAGATCGTTTGTTATTGTGGTAACGTTGTTGGCATATTCTTCTTCAGCAATGGTTCCGCTGGGCTGGGATTTAGGTTTTCGTCCACGTTTTCTCTTGTTCTCACCCATGTCCTCCCCAAATAAAAAAAAAAACAAAGAAAGAAAGAATGCAAGCGATGAGCCTCAGGAAGCTTTGTGCTGGTGTTAACAATGGCTCCACGCAGCTTTTATGTTGGGAATTTTGGTCATCGCAACAATACTCGATTCGAAGACGCCTCCATTTCCGAACCTCGCCTGAAATCGCAGGCGGTGCCAGAACCTCAGATGACGGAGGCAAGGCTGAGGAGGAGCTTTAAGACGGGAGCACATTAGGTGCTCATCAGGGGTGATGAGCACCGCTGAACCAATCTGAACGGTTCAGATTTAACTATTTTTTTAAATAAAAATTTATAAAATTTTAAACAAATATATTTTATTATTAAAATGTATTATTTATATTTAATCAGATTAATTTAAATTTAATATTAATTTTTATAATTTTTATAAATTAACAATACAGATTAACTCTGGACTATTTTAAATCTGATAATATAATAAGTTAAAAATTTTAAATTTAAATAGTATAAATTAAATTTGCATAGTCAATTTATAAAAAAAAATATGAAAAATTAATATTAAATTTGGACTCATCTAATTAAATATAAATGATACATGTTAATAATAAAATATATATTTAAAATTTTATAAATTTTTATTTTCAAAAATAAAAAAAATAAAAAAGTAGTTAAATTTGGATTGTGGTTCAAATTGATTCAAAGGTGATGAGTGTTCATCACTCTTAATAAGCACCGAATATGCTCCACTTTAAGGGAAGTGGGGTCTCTCCACTTTCTTTTTCTCCATTTCCCTCCACTTCCCCCATCCTCACCATTCATTAATTTTATCATTTAAAAAAATTATTTAATAAAAAAATTTGAATGGTGGGGATGGGGGAAGTGGAGGAAAAGGGAGGAAAAAAAGTGGAGAGACCTCTGGTCCACTTTAAGACTATGCAGCATCTTGGACTTGCATTGGCCCCACTCCAAATTAGGTCTTCAAACTCGCCTGGTCTAGACCCCGTGTAGGTATGGCCAATGTGCAAAAAAAAAGTGAAAATACATTGCTCAAGTATAAGTGACACAAATGATAACGGTTTAAACTCCATCAACATCATTTCAAAATTTAATTCTTATAAATATGTTTAAAAAATATTACTTAAGAGAGGATAACTTATAAATAACATTTAAATTCTTTAAGAGATTAATCTCACAGCTATTGATTATGAAAATACCTTGACCAATAAAAAAAAAATGTTGAGTGCAAACACGTCCTATTTGTTCTGATCACTTGTTTTTTAGTGTCTTATTTTATCCTGCGTTTCTTGAAATAATTACAAAATCACTTATTGATTAAGTAGGCATGGATGAAGTGAAAATTTAATAATATCAAGGCTCAATAAAAGTTATATTTATGGTGTGAAATTAGATATCACTAATGTACACTTTACAATCACTTTAGGCCAAGATTACATCCCGTACCAATGATGTAGCAAATCCTATTGGAAATTAACAATCCAATTAAGAGTGTGTAGTAGAGTGATGGAGGCTCTTCCTTCCTTAACCAAAATCAGGGTTTGAACCTTACTTTGACATGAAAAGCATTAAAATCTTTGACCAACTATCCCACCCTTCAAAATGCCCACAATTTAGTGAATTTGGTTTAGTTTGTGCTGTTAATACATTTGAAAGATGGCCTATATAGGATATCAGGTGCAATACAAAAAAAAAAAAAAAAAAAGAGGCAATCCCACACCATCAAGTTGTCTTCAGTCAACGTCCTCTTGCCCTTTCGTACGTTTTTAAAATTGATGCTTATTATTAAGCGCCCTCTTAGGCATGCTTTGATTTTCATCAGGTTAAGTTTTTTTAAAAAAAGCTTTCCCATAATATCGATTATTTATCAATTAATCATTTAAATAAATATGAAAAACATATCAAGGCCCACTTTGAAGTTTGGACTAAACTTCACCTGAAATATACCATTCTCTTGTTTTTAATAAACATAACTAACTTCACATTTATTAAAAAATAATAATTATATTTCAAAATTATTTTAAAAAATATATAATTTTTCAATTTTATTTTTATCTAGAATTAACAATCATAGTAAATTGTCGTTTAAAAATTCAAACCATGAGAAATAAGTAAAAAATAAAATTAAAAAAAATTAACTATTCTAATCTTGTTTTATGTTAGAAAAAATTTTAAAATTGTCTTATTTTAATGATAATAAAATAAGTAAAAAATAAAATTAAAAAAATTAACTATTCTAATCTTGTTTTATGTTAGAAAAAATTTTAAAATTGTCTTATTTTAATGATAATAACTAGAGAGTGTGTGTGTATTGTAATTGTAATGTAATGCAATATCTTTTTCACCATTAGTATAATGCAACCAATGTACATACTTGTGGCAAGATCTTTCCCAAGTACATTGCTAAAGGCAAGAAATCTCAGGCTTGGGCGTTCCGAAACGCGATAGGTGTTGCGAGAAAACGAAACTCGTGGCGTTGCCTTATTTGAAGCAGGGAAGACCTTGCTCCTCCCATCGACGTCGGACTCGCCAACGTTGGATGGTTGTTGCCACCGGCGAGATCTCCTCACTGTTTGGTTTTGCTTGCTAAGCCTCTGCGATCTCTCCCGTATTTCCTGTGTGTCTCTCTGATTGAAACTCTATACCGCTTTTCCTCACGGGAATCTTCATTTTTCTTTCGATTTATCGCCCATATCTTCCCAGTTCTCACTGTTCCCTTCTTTATAGTCGCCTTTCCCTTCGTAATTATTGGCCATCTCGTTTTCTTGTGACCCTCTTTCATTTCCACTTGTTGATTGTTGATGCTTTATTATTTCCGAACCGTAGTTGAATCTAGCTACTTGTTTGTCTTCGCTTACTTCTACGAGTAGCTCTGATTTCTTCATTTATTCCCCTCAATTTTCATCTTCTGGGGTTCCAAGATCTTCAGTTTGAACTCCCTTTCGCTGCTTTAATTCTATTGCTATTGAGGTCCTTCAATGTCACAAGGTTACGCTATCGAGCTCTACTTCGATCCTGCTCTAGAAAACCAGGTGTTGAAGGCCTGGAATGTACTGGCTCGCAGACAAATCAGCACCCACCTCATCGAAATCGAGTCTCGCCCGCACATCACTCTCTTTTCCAGCCCCTGTGTTGATTCCGCGAAGCTTGAATCAGTCGTCAAGAGTTTCGCTGCCAAGCGGGAACCCTTGCCTATTTCTTTCTCTTCAATCGGGTGCCTACCAAACGACAATAATGTACTCTTTCTTTCACCGACCCCTTCAATTTGGCTGCTTCAGTTCCAATCTCAGTTGTTTGATGCAATGAAGAAAGAAGGTTTCGAGATAGGAGAGGATTATCGCCCAGATTCTTGGATTCCTTATTGTGCGGTTGCTCAGGAAGTGCCAAAGATTAGGATGGCCGAGGCTGTTTGTGTCTTGCGGGACTTGAAATTGCCGGTTTCTGGGTATGCCATGGATATTGGACTGGTGGAGTTGTCTCCCGCTCGCGAGCTCTTCTCATTTGTGCTTGGTAATTCAGTAGAAACATGAGGTTGTAGATTACTCTAATTTAGGTTTTTTATCCTAGTTTGTGTTAATGTGTTACATCTTGAAATGGAATTAGAATGAACTCAGTGTTTGCTATTATTAAACACTACAATTGGAGAAATTTCATTTTACCTTTTTGCCCTTTTTACTTTTTAGTTTATTGTTATCTTAAGGTTACTAGTCTATCATCGTTTCATCTTAAAATTGTGCTGGAAATCTTAAACTCTTCCTATCATTTGTTGGTGTAATGAATGTGAGACTGGCTGCCTCAAACTTGCTGGTTACAACACATGACAAATAGCAATTAGTTCATTCAACTACGCTCCTTAAAAGGGATTATTACACGACAAAGAAAGTCAACTTGTGTTTCTTTTTTCCTTTCTTTGGATACGTACATTAAGTGACAAAAGACCAGAAACTCTCGCTCCTTCTACATTTTCACTCTGCTGTCGTTCTTATCTGTAACTATAGGTTTGTTGTATATTTGCTTACAAAATTCTGAGGATTGGAAGGGGTAAGAGGCAAATTTTTAAGGAGATTTGCTTTTTATGGTTTTGTTTGGTCCATTTGGCTGGTGGCTTCTCTTTGGTTTATTACTTTTTCAGGGCCTGGTGGTCGGGGTCTGGATCAAGGTTTGTGTCTCCTTGTTAGGTATGCAGAGTGAGTGGTGTTCCCCCCCCCCCCCACCCCCAATTCATGATGCTTCTCTTCTTTGTTTGGGTTCTGTTAAGGTCAGTGACGACTGAGGATGTCTTATGCTCTGCGTATATACTCTTCAGGGCAATAATATGGTTCTATCAGCAAAACCGTTGTAGTGGATGTTTGTGAATCATGTCACTGGAGACTGGACTCATTGGGAGTGATGTCGTAGGAGTTACTATAGAACTTGACAACTACTGCTGTTCTGAATCTCCAAGTGCAAACCCTTTGTCTGCCATTGCAGCTTGTTAGCTAATCGCTTCCTGCACTTTTGAGCATCATTATCTTCTAACACCTATGTTTTATCATTGGTAATAGTAACTTAAGAAGGTTTCGGTTACATGGAGGTTATTGGATAGTTCTGGTTTCGCTGACCACTCTTTTGCATCCTATCTGGGCATTAGAGTTTCCAAATGCAAGGGTTTTGCTGTAGATTGGGGTTAATGTCTTTAATTATTTATTTTAATATTGTTTTACAATTATCAGACACTAGTAATTGGGAAACATGGAAATGGACATTACAATAAGAGCACAAGTAATCTCTACAAGATAATACGCTCATGACTAATCATAGTTTTCATTGCCGGTTCATTTGGTTCACTGTAATCCCTTCAAAAGATTGCTGCGTTTGGGTTGTTTGTTGATTATCTGTGTAATCTCTGTTTACTGAGTTGCAAAAACGAATTCGTTGAGCAGTTGAAATCGTATCTCTGTTAGCATCATTCATGAGCGATGGGTATCGGCACAGGTCATTTCTGCTTTGCCAATATCTTTGTAGCTTAAACTACATTCACTGTAGTGAAATGGTGCTATGATGAATTCTGGCTTTTAGAGCAAAGGTTTGCACTTCAGCCTCAGTATCAATGCGCCGTGACAGGTGAGATGACTTCTCCTTGGATGCGTTCTAGCATCGTGACCTCCTCTTGAAGTCCACAAGATTGACATTATGTTCTCGATGAACGTCTCAGTACAGCTGTGACGTGGGCTCAGGTATCAATTAACTGGATCAAAATAGTTTTATTATTGAATAATCATGCATATCCATGTTTGTGTGTGTAAAGTTGAAGGGGGTTGGATCTTGAGTTCATCACAGCTAGAGGAGCCCTCAAGGCTCAAAAGAGCTAAACCAGGCCTACTAGCAGGAGGGACAAACCTACCACTGCTACAGAAACGATGACGACGAACGCGATATCAGATTTTTGCGGTCATTCGATGAGTTTTAAATATTATTTCAGCCTTTGGAATTCAATTTGTGATTAGTGCTTTTGTTCGATAATGTTCAGTACCAGAATTAATCACTCCTCACTAAATCGAGAGTTCAAATAATAACCGTTTGCTTAACGTTTGTTAAAATGCATCCGGTTTGGAAAATTCCATGTGTTATATTTACCAGAAAAATAAAAAATGGGAATATATCCGGGGGAGATTTTACCGACGATGATGCACGACATCTATGGACTTGTTAACGTTATTACACGTAACGACATTGGAATTTAGAAAGAGCTACCAAGTTCTAAAACATTAGGAGGATCTAAACTATTATTATTAAGCTTCGAGAGAGAGAGAGAGAGAGAGAGAGAGAGATGAGGTATAAATTTGATGGAATATACTATTTAACAGTTTTCCTAAGAGGTAGAAGAAGGCTCTCTCTGGATGAGAAGAGCAAGCAAAAGCTCGCTCCAGAAATCCACAGGACCAGGCATACACCAATGTGTACAATCATTGTAACCGCTCATCCACTTGTTGCCCCAGTGCTCCCCTGGATGTCCATCTGGCCTCATCATCATCGCTCTCGTCACATCCACAACCTCGTACCTCTTGCTCTCGTCCCCTTGTCTTGCTCCTCTCTCAAACTCCTCCATCTGCACATTCCTCAGCTTCCACTCGAAACTCTTCCAATCAACCTCAGCTTCACTCATCGGACTCGTCCTGTTGCAGTACCCCCCGGTGTTCCAAACACCGTTCTCGAAGTGAGCCGGCGCGAATGTTCTCGCAAATACCAATGTTTTCTTGCAGTTCTCGCAGTTATTGAAGAAGTTGAAGGCTGCTCGAAAGGCCATCCGCAAAGCGAAGTCGATGTCGTAGTCCGTGACATTTGGTTGCTTGCAGAAGACGCAGCCTACGAGGTTGTCAGCGTCATGCAGGTACATTACTCTGAAGAACCAGTGTCCTGCGGAGATTATCGCGTAGTCCAATTCTGGGACTACGTTGCCCCAATCTGGGTCAACCTTGTCTATGTGCATGTCGAATATGTTTGTCCCTGTTCCGTTCACCATTCTTTCCTCACCCACTATCAGGAATCTGCTCCATATGCTCATTACTGTGAAGTTGCTCTTCGGAAAATGCCATTTCCGGTACCTATCTTCTGGGTCCTTGCAAATCTCATCCGGAGTTTCCTCCTGCAATATTTCAATGAAATCGAATCATTCCCTCCTTTTCAACTCTACCAAACACCGAACATGAGTAGTTTTTAATGCCGTTTGACTTTCTGACATAATGAACCTTAAATGTGAGATTTGAGTCTAGCGAATATTTGTCTCCCATTTATTGTCAAATCTGGGATTACGTGCCAACGGAGACATCTGCCGAACACATAATTCCAATTCCTGGTCTGGGTTTGGTGATAAGAGTTTTTCCGAAGTCTAAACCAATAAAAGCGAATTTGTCCAAATCTGATTATGAAAAAACAACCACAGAATTGGTCAAGGTCAACTATTCCAATCTGTTTGGCTCTGTTTCGTTCGTTGAACATCGCACACATGAATCGACGGCAAGTAAAATTCCAAATGGACGTGCCAGCTGGTAACCGGTGAGTTCTTCCGAAATCAGTTGTAGAACAAGCATGGACACAACACACGAGAGTCACATTCAAGCCGTAACCTTCTTTTCTCTCTCTACTTTACCCCACATAATTCGGTTAAGAGAATCAAATTCCCTCAGAGAACAAGCAAGGAATTCCGAATTCCTCTCGACGCGTCAAAAGGAACTATGGACTGGAATTTAGACTGGTTCAGCGTAAGAATAGGAAAACTCAGTTGAGGCAGTGATTGGACTGACCTGTGAGAGGAGACAAACGAGGGAATCCATGTGGTTCCTAGACACAGAATCACCTATGAATGCCAGCTTCTTCCCTCGAGCGAGATGGAGGAAGGTTTTGGGGTTGAAACTATCCAGGTCACACTCATCAGGCTTCCATTTCCAGTTCAGAAAATCACTGTCCTCTCTGCCATGCTTGAGACAGTTCTTGGAATCAGGAATTAAGGTGCAACTCCAATTGGTGTAATACGATGACTCTCTCGGAGCTCGAACCCAATTTCCCTTGAACAAGTCACAGGCTTTCTTCTGCTCTGCAAAACAACAACACCGAAAATAAATTGGGAAAATGAAACATGATCACAGGTCATGAGAATGTGAGGTGATTTGGATTTGGAAGATACCGTTTTGGGGTTTTGGTGAAGTGAGTTTAGTTGAGGCGTGATGATGGTGCTGCTTGTGAGGGTGGTGAAAGGGTTTATCAGGGATGAGAGTCAAAGGGTTGGGGGAGTAGAGAAGGAAGAAGCTGAAAATGAAGGCGACGAAGAAACAAGTGAGAAGGAAAGGCACGGCACTGCCTATGTTGAAGCATCTTTCTCTTTTGGTGTTGCTGAGAAATCTGTCCAGAAAAGTCGTACCAGAAGATTTCATGGCATTCGAGACGGAGACAGGGAGGGAGAGGAAGGAGAAGGCGAATGAGGAGGAGAATGCGAATGTGAGAATTGAGAGCGTTCTGTTTTGTGAAACCGCCATATTAATTTTAGGGAGAGAAGGATTTAACTTTTTAAGTAATTAATTAATAATTAGTAAATCACCAGCTATTATACCTTTTGCTGTAATTTGAGGGATTGGATTGAATTGCAAGATAATTTACCTTGTACATGTGTGGAAGGTAAAAGGACAGAATGAACCAGGGTATATATTTAATAAATAACAAATATGCAGTGTGAAATTATTGGAATCAAGAATAAAAGGTGAGATAATAAATTTTTCAATTCCTCTTGTTTATATAGTTATTGACGTAGTCCGTTAGATTTAATTTCTTATATTCTCTTAAATTCTCATGCTAGTTTTTTGAGTTTTAAAATATAAATTAACTGTTAAATTAATCAAATGTATAAATTATGTTGAGGATTTGACGCTAAATAAAGATAAATTAACCCTCAATCAGTTTAATTTGCATCGATTTAACCCTGTTTAGCTCTTTTGTTTTTTAAAAATTTTAAGTCCTTTTTTATTTAAATAATTACATTTCTTTTCATTAATATACACGACTGCAATTAATATTATATTATTCATGTTGGCTGATTTTATCAAAATTATCTCCTCTTTAAATAATAAAGATTCAATTGATAATTAAGACAGATCTAAAATATCAAACCAATAACTGAAACAAATTTAAAAATTAAAAGTTTCATTATACTTCCTCCATTTTAAATTATATGACATTTTTTAAAGGATTTTTTTATCGTAAAATATAAGACATTTTGGATAGATTAATGTTTCGTTAAATGCATTAATTTTAATATTACCTTTTCTCTTTTTATAATTAATTTTTATCATTTCTTTTTTTAATATATTAAATGATTAATATTTTTAAAAATTTATATTTGTTTTGGAAAGATAAGTTTGTTAGGTATATTTAATGAGGTTTATTAATATGTAAGATTTTATCTAAAAGTATTTTATAATTTGAGATGGAAAAAGTATTAAAAGTATTAGAGAGAAATTAAATTCGTTCCAAAAAATAAGAAAGAAATTAAATTAATTTGAGGGATGCGAATCCACGTTAAGAGAGCAGGATAGAGGCGGCCGGAAGGGAAGGCCTTAATTATCGGCGCAATCTAAATTCTAAAAGCATATTTCAACTTTTAAGCAGCATTCACATTACGCTCCCATGACAAAAAATATTAATAATGACCTATTGGATCCAGAGTACGTGTCACTGTGCCCATACACAAGCATGAATAACATTTATAAGTCGACTAATTTTTTAGAAAAATTAGAACTCATTTCATGACTATTAAACAAAATAAATAAGTCAAACGGTCTCTTAGCACCCGTATCACACCTCTCTGGGCTCCTCAAATTGTTTTTTCATGCTGGATTCAAGTAATAATTAATATATGCCCTGAATTTTTGTATAAGAATTATTTTCTTAAAAAAATAAAAGATTGACCTGACCTGACCTGACCTGAGATTCTAAAAACTGAAGGTTTTGTAATCAAAATCAAACACCATAGCTATAAGTTGAAAAAAGTTCGTGCAGGTTACGGCAAAGCGCATTCTCATCCTGACCTTTTTTTTTTTGTTTTTTCTGTTCTCTTTTTAAAAATTCAGGAACTAAATGAACACAGACATGGACTAGTGGAACACCGAAGTGCCGCGAAAATAACACATTGAACTTGAAAGAGACATTAAAATTAGGACTGGACATCTTGCAAACAGTATTGTGGGCCACTGACATTTACAGAGTGAATCCAAATGATCTCGGTTACATGATAGGATTATATGCTTTTCAACGGGTTGTATGATAAGGGTTGTTTCCTTGATTTGCTTAATTCCTTGATATTAGTGAGTGCAATTCCTTTTTAATATTAATAAAATTGACTACTTTTAGCTCCCACAAAAAAGCCCTGGGAGCGTTGAGGCTATTATTTTCCGGCAAAGAAAGCCGAAGTAGAGAAAACTTTGACGAGTAAATAATTCTTGCCTTTTTCTCACTTCTCAGGCTTCTTATGAAGCATTTTTCTACGCCTGTAATAAACATGCGAGGGAATTATGAGTGAAGGCCATCCGTCGTACATGGCCATAATGATACTCTTGTAAAATTCTCGAAGGATTTTGACGGGGAAGATCAACAAATTGCTGCAAGGGAAAGGAGGTAAAATAACAGTGTAACACACGGACCATGATGGCTAAACCTGTGCATTATCAATACCCAGAATGTGATAAGTGACAAAATTCGGCAGTCAAGACTACAGCAATAACTATATATGAAACAAGAAAAAAAAAATAATTGAAAGAAGGCCCAAGCTGGCCTCAAGCCTAAGCCAGTTCATACATCCAATCCTCTCCATCCAAATGCTCGAAGAACGGATTGGTGTTCGGTACTTTGCAGTGCGGTCATACACTCCATGCCAACTTCTCTGAATCTGAATCTAGGCGGCATTATCACATCTGCTGTTTAAGTTAGATATCTACACAGGAAAAACTTCATCTGCAAGAGGCCCATCAATTCCAAGCACATTCGTTCAAAACAGCTGCATCAGAGGCCCATATCCCTTTGTCAGTCAGAAATTACGAGCCACAGCTGCAGTCTCGTTCGAGGCTGGCTTGACACCTTGTATCTTCTTCAATATTTCTGACATTATGAACAAAAGCTGCATGATACCGTAACATTTGAAATTAGACTATATCTCGAGCATTAACATGGGGGTAAAAGAGGCAGGTACAATCTTTTTTTTCTTTTTCGAAATTAGAATATACAAACCATAAAGAGACAGATATTTCAACCGACAACTCAAATACCAGAGTGAACAAGGTGAAGAGACGCTCCTAACATACATATGATGGCCACTTGGAAAAAGCTAGTACATTGCCAAACCAATGAAGCAACAAGGAAACTTGTTTGGTTCACATGGAACTTAGCAGCTAGCATAAGACCATCGCTCAATGATGTTTACCGAAAATATTTAGAAAAACCAAAAACTTTCACAAAACCCCACGAAACAATGAAATACCATGAGTTCATAGAGGCAAAGATTAGAAGGATTGAGAGATCTTACAAGGGGGCCCACAACCTCCTGAAAATTTGCTTCAAACAGTCGTCATCCTATTGCCAAGAGGGTTGTTTATAGCTATTGAATCTATCAGCTCCATCCCAACCACCATCAGGTTCCTTTCTCTTCAATACACCTCCTGCCACCTGAAACATCTTCATCTGTTCCTCCATCAAGGCTTGGGAACTTGAGACAGGAGGTTGCCTCAACCCTGAAGACAATCTATCATCTCTCCGCTCTGTATCTGCACTGCCAGGGCCTGAATTAAGATCGAGAGCTTGACCTCCCCACTTTCTATTTTCAGGCATCACATTACTTGTGCCACCTGGGAGACTCATAACATAGGGACGGGGAAAATTGGATGAGATAACACCACCAGGCCCAACTAGCTGTGAGGGCATGGTAGGAAAGCAAAGTCCACCTGCTGTTGAGGAGTCCATAAAGGGTGTTGAACAGCCAGAAAAGGAATTCGAAGACAAAGGAAAATTGGTTTCAAAAGGAAATCCAGGGTACTGAAATGGTGTGCTGGGAGGATAAGCAACAGCTGGAGAGGATGAAAGAACTGCCCCTCTATAGATTTCAGGACCAAAAGAAGTGCTACCTGGAGGACCCAAAATTCGCTGTGCTCCAGTACCAGCAACAAAGCTCTGTTCTCCTCTACCAGGTAGAAGTGGTGGGACATTGATTGCAGAATAGGAGGTGCCTGAAGGAAACCATGATGAATAATTCCCAAAATCAGCATTACTTGTTCTTACACCATGAACAGTCGAATGCATTGGTACAGTACTTTTTATCTGCTGGCTACGAGCTGGAGCTTCAATGGCAACTTCATCAAGGCCCGGCCCATTATTTAAATCAAAGTCTCTTGATACATTTCCACCACTGGACAATCCACCAGATAATGAAGGTTTAGTTGGTAAAGAAGGAATATCCAGCTTGCTCACAGAAAAACCACCAGAATCAGGAGTGTCATCAACTCTGTTTAAATCAAGATCAAGTCCTGCAGTCCCGCGGTCACGAGGCAAGGATTCTAAACAAGTCTCTGAAGAGCCACGGGAAGCCACATCCTCAAAACTTCTTTGATCAGGCACATTCAAATCAAAATCTAGAGGTGCACGACCTTGCTTGGTAGCACTATTATCACTAGCACTTAACAGCTGCTCTGTGTTTTTCCTGGGCTCAGCTGGCCGGAATGCACTGTTAGCAGCTGACCACCCAAGTTCCCCCTTACTTGGTGGAATAACAGGCCCTTGGGCAGCAGAAGCCACAGTGATTGAAGCATGGAAGCCCCCAGACAAGGAAGAAATAGGAAAAGGTGATGGACACAGAACACGGACTGCAGATGATGTGATAGGTTCTTCCTGTCTCACATCCCCTTGATTCACATCATCAACAGGAAATCCCTCATTCAAATCAAAGTCCAGCTTCACTGCTATATCCGACGCTCTAGCAGTAAGTGAATCAATAGCACCAGTGGCATGTTGTTCAGCACCATCAGACACAACTCTGTCCAAATTAAACCCAGAAGACTTTTTGAGCACTTCATTCTCTTGTACAGAATTTTTTGGGGACTCAGACTGTACTGTTGTATCAGTGCCAAGACCAAGAACCTCTTTTCTATCCAAATTCTCTTCAGTACACTGATTGTTGACGGCAGGCCCTGATGAGTCCAGATCCCTTTGCCTTTCCTTACTATCCTCCACCTGTTTCACATCAGCAGCACTCAAAGGCTTGGATTCCATCAAAGGATAACTAGAAGCAGAAGGTGGGACAACAACATTCTCATTTCTGCCCTCAAAAAATTCATGGTTTTCTGCCAGAGTGGGCTTCTGCACTGAGATGATACTACCTGCCACTTTCTCCCCACTAATCTGGTTCTCATTACCCGAACCTGTAGATGATTCAGGTAATTTTTCACACA